ATACTGGTTAAAGCGTTTGCATACTTGCATATATTGTTGATTCTTACTCTCGAGAATCTTCTACAACTTTGGAGAATAGGTGTGAATTGCGCAATACATATATAACACTACAAGCTATGCATGCTTTTAAATATAAACTCAATCTAGACGACGTAGATAGTATATTGTCCATAAAACTTAAAATATCATTTACTTGTTCCCTTGATATAATTATATAATGTGATTTACACATATATAAAACTAGGCAGTTGTCTACAAGCCAGTTATTAGTTGAAAGCAACTCATTGTTCGCTATTTTAAAACGGTCAGCAAGAGAATCAGCCTCTATTGTAAGAGTCATATCGTCAGTATACAGATTGGATGTATTTTCTAAACATACCGAAATTAAGGGCTCAGTAATTGAATAACTAGCAGATTTAATCACTGATGCTACAACATCGTTCTATCCAGCAGATGAATTAGATAGTACCTTTATGGCAGCTTGTATTTCAGTCACAGTTGGGTGCAAGGTAAATAGTCTGAGCTATAGACTTATCATGACACTCGATGTTAGTAGGAGTAACACCCTACTTAGTAAAATAATCATTAAAAATATTGGCAATACCAGCAGAATCAGTAACACCTAAAACGAATAGAGAGTTGTCTAAATTGATATTATCGACAAGTGATTCCAAATGTATCTATAAATTCGCTTCCTTTACCAGAAGGTAAACAATAAATACAATAAAAAGTATGAAATTCTGCAATAGTAAAACTATACAATTCAATATGATCAGTCATAATAACAGAATTGAAATTAAATTTGTACTTTAGGCCAGGACTTATATATATATATATGTAACAATTGTATCACCATGTCCAATGGGTCTGCCAATAAAATCTATATTATAATTTAGTAAAGAGGGTGGAGGGTTTTCTTAACACCATGATTCAAGAAATATCAATATATCAAGTTTAAATTCACAATACAAAATTAAGTAATCACATCAACTATCTTTCAGCTAATACTTCTAATGTTTAAACATACTAAATTAAGCCTATTTTCCATTATTAATCTTATTAGTAAACTACTCTTTACCGTGAGTTAGATTATGACTTGGATGAAATAAAATATCCGACAATTAAACCTTCCAGCCAATATTCAGAAGAGAAACATTTTTGTCGTTATTTCAGAAGACGAGTCAAGTTGAACACAAAACAAAGTTGATCTGGTCATCCTTTCGGAAGTGAGCTGCTCTCATTTTGTTACATTAAAATCGTTTCTTTCCAAAAATGGCTCTATATCTCTTGCCGTGGTACCTAGTGCACACCTCCCAATAAACAACCTCTTACTACCACCATTTCAAAGAACCGTCTTTATTCTCTTTTTTAACACCTCGAATGACAGTAGTCCGATTCCGTAGTTGTTTCCTTCTACGTTGGACTAAAACAAAGCCTCCCTCACGTTCTTCTTTTACTTCATCTCCAGAAATAGTCCTAACTGGATTCTCAAATGTGATAATACTAGTATCAGTAGTTTCTTTATTAGACCTTTTTGGTTTGCTATTTAATCTCTTAATTGCATTTATTTTCTCATGCTCAGTTTTGTTAGGTTTCGTAAGATCAATTTTCATGTTAATCTTATTTTCTGGCATTGAAACTACTACTGCATTATGATCACGATGAGCCAATAGTTCCTGCCTACAGTTTTGCCTTACTTCATTGCGGTATAACTTGAGCTCATTCTTCAAACTGATGTTTTCTTTCATAACATGTTCCAATTTACTTTCAGTTTTACTGGCAAATTCTTCCAAAAAGCGAGACAACTACTGTCATGATCAATTAATGTTGGTAATTAAATCATTAATTGATCCTCACCTTTCATTTGCTTGGGAATTAAATTTCCCAAGTTCTTCAACGTTCTTAACGTTGACTTCAGCCATATTAATAAATAATATACGACAGCTATTCAACGTTCTTAACGTTGACTTCAGCCATATTAATAAATAATATACGACAGCTATCTTTAAATTTAGAACATTTTCCTTGTTTTTATTCACACATAACGTTAAAATCTTCATACGTTATATTTACACATTTAATGTGAAACTGTAGTTGACACATAAAACAAGAAATAACAGAATTTTCAGTCTTATAAGGCTTACTCGCTGCAATTTTTGAAGAGTAGATTTCGCACACGTCACTACACGTCATCTCGCTGTAAATGATAAATTATGAAAACATGAAATATCCATGCCTAAGATTCGTCCATGTTATACGAGTAAATTCTTGTTTGATTTTGAATTGAAATTTGTTTAAAAATGAATCGAACGTTAGTTGATTCTATGATGGTTAAACAAATAACATTGAAGAATTGTTTTTTAAGTTGTAAGTCAAGTATACAAAGCCGAAAAAATGACCTGTTAATGCTGTACCAGTCACAAGGATCGTACATCAAATTTTATCATTATAAACCTTCAAGTTTACTTCAATCCACCTTGGGGGAGGAGCCACGTTGTGATACACACCTCCTCTGACTTTAAATATAGAATCAAACAAGTTCAGTAAAGAGCATTATCATTAATATTAGAAAATTAGATTTACGTTTTAAGTTTAAATATATTATTTGAGAATCAATACTTTTAAATTCGAAAAAGAAAACGTTTAAGAAGAATAATTACGTTACCATTATTAAACAAAAATTTCCTGAAACAATTATAAAATTTCCTTAATTCGTTTTGGTTGAGTAATTAATAGTAGTTTATCGATTGAAAGTATAATTAATTATAAGATTAGCGTGATCCAATATTGGAACCGAAATTTTCAATCTAAATGGCATCTTGTGCAAATCCTCCCTATTTTGGAATACAGAGAGAATTCAGCCACTTAGAAGTACCTGTCTTCAAAATGGTTTTGTCTGGTTCTTTGAGCCGAAAAAGGGTAAAGACTGTCATATTCTTAGGATAAAGAGGGTAAAAAGGGTAAAGACTGTCATATCCTTAGGATAAAGAGGGTAAAAAGGGTAAAGACTGTCATATTCTTAGGATAAAGAGGGTAAAAAGGGTAAAGATTGTCATATCCTTAGGATAAAGAGGGTAAAAAGGGTAAAT